CTATTGTATTCAGCCGGTAGATGTGAGATTTCATGTCCCCTTCCATCCACCCTGTTTTAAACTTCCTCTCAGACATACTGTCTTGTACCTTTGTCCAGCAGCTGCTTGTTTTTTCCCAAATATTTTCCAAATTCCAGGCCTTTCGGTTAAGTGTGTGTAACCTTGAGAAGAATGACAAAAATATTTCTTTTGGAGAGTTTGCTTCTACCAAGAATGATGGTCTTTATCTCATGGGAATGAAGGAGATTTTGTCTTTTGTTTGGTCAGTTTGCCAGGCAGCTCTTCTATTTGAACAAATTTTGAAAAATTAATTCGACTGATTTTTTTTTTTTTCTTTTTGATAGGTCCTCTCCTGCATTTGTCATTGTAGGCTGCAAGTGGCAAGAGAGCTCTATTGCTAAGTGGGTTTTCAGTAGAAGAAAGAGAATTGATTTACACTATAGCTGGCTGACAATCTTTTCTTTTACATTATTGGAAATATCATGGGTTCAGGGAATATTCACTGTATCAGCAGCCTTGTGTTTAATGAGATTGTTTGGACTTTGTTTTCTGAGCTGCAGTAAAACCTTTGAAACATGTTAACCACCATTTGATTGAAAAGTGGGAGAGGGTTTTTAACAGTGAGCTTTAAGTAAACTGCATCTTTTTGAATTTCCTGGGCAGCTGCCTTTCTCCCTTTGATGTACCGTGCCTGGTGATGCTGTTAATGAAATGTATAATTATGTGTTATATAATAAAACAGAGCTAACATGAAGGTGCCTAATAGATTATAATGATGTGGAGGCCTGAGAAACTCGGGACCATGGGGGTTGTTGAAAAGTGCCTCCGGTGTCAAAGAAGATATTTAAAGAAGTTTGAATAACTGTGCTAATAAATTAATTGTGGTCTGTTTGCGTGTGTGTGTAAATGACATTCTTCAAGATTTTGTATATAGAGAGAATATTGAAAAAAAAAATTAGGTGCAATTTATTAGGCTGCTGATGTAAATAGGTGCAGTTTACTAGGCTGCTGAAGTGTCAGCGCCGAGTGCTTCCAGCACCTATTAGTGCTGCTGGCTTTGCATAGACGGGTGCCCTAGGCAAAGACTTTTTTGGCACAGCCTGCCACACTGGTAGGATCAAAAGGAAAAAAAAAAAAAATAAATCTGGCAATATGTACAGAGAGTAAATTGCATCCTGAAGATCAGCCCCTAAAATGCGGGTTTGGAATGAATATCAATAAAAGAAACATCACAGTTAATGGCTCAAGAGTTGTAGGCATTTGGTGGCTGTCCCCCAACTTCCCCCCTTCCCTTCTCTGCTTTTGTCACCTTTATTTTATCTCTCCCTTTGTAATACTCTGTATAATTTGTTCCTTCATTAGATTTGTTAGGAACCGCTTTGAACAGATAGGTATTTTTAAAGGAGAGGCTGCATAACCTTCCAGCCTTGGACCACAGGGGCTCCTAATGGTGCTGGGCAGTGGCTAGGCTTGTTTGGCTGCTCTTCTGGGCTTACAGGGGCCTGTTTGCTGGGAGAATTAGTGTGCAGTGTGAATTTGCAGCTTGCTAGTTGCTTGGCACTAATTCCCTGGGTGGATGCTTCTAGTACCTACTAAGAGTGCTTTTGTGCAGGTTAGCTTTAAGAGTGCTTTCTCAGCAGTTAGGTGGGCTCTGTTTTGAAAGTGAAGTATGTTGTTTTTCACTTCCCAAGCACTGAGGGTATCCAAATGGGCAGTTAGTGCAGAGTAGCTAATACGCAGTAAATTCACACCCAAGCTCACCAAGGCTTAGCTTCCTCCTGCAGCCGAGTCCGAGGCTCTGCACTTTGTCTCTCTCGGCAGGGAGCAGATGGCCCTTCTCTAAACAGGGCATACTAATAAAGCCTTACAAAGTGCACATATATGTGCGTGTGTAGGTTTGTGTGTGTCCGTGTGTTTATATAAGATGACTTGAATCTATCAGAGTTCTTGGATTAACTTGTGCTTCCTTGATTTTTATCAAGATACCCTAAGGAGATGCTGCTGCATTGCCATCATCCTTGTCATTAATGGACTTATGTTTTAGCTACAGATTTTGGGCAAGTTTTGATGAATTCTTCCTTTTCCTTTGGCACTAAGAGTGACATACTTTTTCTGATGTGACTGACTGAATCTTTTATGTGTCAATCTTTCTTTGTTGCAATTCCCTTCCCCAGCATTTGTTATTCGATATCTGGAGTTTATTATTGTATTTGATACACTTTTATAGTAATAAATGTTCTTCCACAACTTGAGAATCCCCAGCAAGAAGGAAATAAGGTTTTCTCTAGCTTTCCAAATACCTGGATGTGAAATCAAGTCAATTTTTCAATAAAACTCTTGTTTTAGGCCAGGCTTCTTAATTACTGTACAGCTTCACCTTATCTGAAGGTCACATAATGGGTTAAATTTTCATACAAAGTTTTCTTAAAATTTTATAAATGATTTTATGTTTTTCATGCTCATGTTTCAAATATATCATTGACTTCTAAGTCATCTGCATATTTGCTTATGTTTTGCTCTAGTATTGCCTATTTCCAAGAAAGTTTCATATCACAAAAGTGGCTTCTCTAGTTTCCATCTGTAGTGAGAGTTCAGGACAACTCTATCAGCTCCATTGTGGCCAAAGATTAAATTTACTTACACACAGAAGATATTGCTCAAAATGCTTTTAACATGTCTTTATTTAATGACCTCAGCCATAGTAGCCTGCCAAAGATAAACAGCATTTCTGCTTGGCAGGTGGTAACTCTTGAAGGAAGTGAAGTCTGAAGCTGAACCCAGAGACACTTGCTCTGAGTGTTCAATGTGCTGTCACAGAGAGGAGCCATCCCAGATCCCAGCACTCAGGAGGGCTGCAGGGCTGGGGAAAACCAGCACAAACCTCAGAGTTTCTCAATAGCAGATGTAAAATGCTGCTGAATGTTTGCGACAATAAAGGACGAGGGCCCAGGCCAGCTTGACTGTTCCCGCTAGAGGATGGGAGGGTAGGAGGAAGGGATAGAATGGGATGAAAAACAAGGAGGGGAGCCTGGAAAGCCAGGCTCTGGTTCTTGCTGGTTCTTGCTGTTCTGGATATTCTGTATAGGTCAAAGCAATCACTTGAGAGTGCTTTTTCAAGTTCCAGTTTCAAGAGTTTTTAAATTTAGAGTTTTAGGGTGCTTTTATAGCTTTTTAGAGTATTTTTTATATTAATTTTTAATACTGGTTTTATTCCAGAAGAGTTCCCCACAGCAAGATACTTTTAAAAAACCCTTAAAAGGAATCCACAATAAAGGAGTCTCCATCTGTGTGAATGAGTTGCGGCAGATATGATGAAGCAATTCTTAAAATCCCACAGTTGCTGTTTTCCTTTCAACTGACATGTTCCTGGTGTTTTTAAATAAAACAGTTGAATACTAGGTTTAAAGAGACATTCAAAGAATGCTGTGGTGTTATTAGAAATCCCTGGTTATGTCGAAGCAGAAAGGACAGTTGCGTGACCCTGTCGTGCACTGCTGACCATGCCATATGAGTCCCTTGTTGGGATATACTGTAAATCATCCTGGATGTTATCTTTCCAAACCCAGAACAGAGACAGAAAGAGGGTGAAAGTATAAGCCTGGATAAATTTGCTACAGCTTATCAGGCAGAAATGTGTTTAATGGCATTCTTTGAATGCAGATTCTTGGAGTACTTAACAATCTTTAGCTAATGAGGTCTATTAAATGGCAATGTATTGCAATTCACTTTGAATTGGAGAGAAGTTTCTGGACAAAAGTCTCTCAGTGTTATGAGGAACTTTTGCTTATTTAATCCCAGGATAATTGCTAATGAATATCCCTTTTTAATAGGATGCAGTGGTAGTGGGAATTGAAAGGAGATAGCAGTTTTAACTAAAATGTCTTATTAAGGTAGCCTAAAGAGAATATTTCTGTCAGTCATCACCATGAAAAACATTTTACTTTATTGTGAGTTGGGCATAAACAGTATTAAGTGCATTCACACACTATTTACTTTGTGTACAAGGATTCATTCTGAATCCTTTATTCAAAGGCCGATGTATTGGTGTGCTTTGTTAAGTCACTGGCACCACAGCTGTTAGACATTTGCAGTAGTAGGTCAAGTGAACTCAGTCTACCGTTGTGCTGCAGCGAACTAACAGTACTGTTATGGTGCCTGTGTCCAACCACGGAGGCAAAACCAAATAGCTGAAGGGGAAGAAAATATTAAAACATGCTATGTACTTTGCCACTCATCTATTGTTAGTAATGTAATACCCTCACTACATAGGGAGAAAGTCCAAGTATACTTGGGAAAGATGTTTTGGGTGAGGTACCGTAATTTGTGCATATGTTTCTCTACAACCAGTGCTGCAGTGCCACATTCATAGACTTATGATCATGGGAACAGGGATGCCTGCACTGTGCCTTGTGCATTGTTCAGCATGGCAACTGTGCGATGTTCCTGCTGCTTGATCTCCTGAGCTGGACTTCTGTTGAAAGCTTCTTGTTCCCTTTTCTGGCATCCTTCAAGACAATATTTGTACAAGGAGCTTGTTCTGTCAGGAAGCAGCAGCATGGGAAAACAATTTTATATCTCCTGTGCTCAGCAAGAAAGAAAAAATATTTGGATTTGTTTGCATTTTTTAATATTTGTCACAATGCCAAGCTATTTTAAGTAATCTGGCTACTCCATCTCTAGTTACCCTTCTCTGATACTTCTAAATTATCACAAGCCACCTGAAATATGGGAATCAGATGTGAGTTTGAATGTAAGTGCAGTGCTTCAAGCTGATAGGAACGGGAGGGGGAGCTGTCATTGCATCAGCCAAGACTCTGGTGGAAGTGTTGATTGATTATCTGTCCCTGGGAAAGGAGGGAAAGTGCCCTTCCATTTCTAGCAGACTGAATTGCTTCCCATTCCCTTGTGAAAGAAGTAGGTAGTCCTGTGCAACCATTGCCATTGTCTCCAGGTATATGAAAAAAATGGAAAGTCCTTTGTTCTGTTTTCTTCTTAGGTAGAGATCACAAATGATGTCCAGTCCTTGCTACTGATAATGCTGGCTGTCATGGTGGCCAAGATAGTTGGTGACTTGTTCAGCGCATCCCTGTACAGTTCCCTCCTGAAGCAGAAATGCATTCCCCTACTTGGATGTGGAACCTTTTGTTCATCACAGGAGAAAACGGTGAAGTCTCTTACACTGCTGATCCATAAGTTTTTTGTCTTGTCTTCTGTGTGGAGACTGTGTGGGTTCTCTGAGTCCTGGAGCTTGGAGAAACAAAGGAGTAAAAGGAGACCCTGATCCTGATCCCCATAGTGTGATGTGCTGTACAAATAGAACAAAAGAAGACTCCCTTTCTCTTCAAGTTTAGGGTGGGATCTGAATTACCACTGTCACCAGAGTCCTGAGAGCCGTAAGTGTTCTATAATGCCCAGTGGTCCAATTGAGAATCTAGCGGACATTTTCACAGACAGCTGTGACTCTGTTTCTTGTAAGCAGATGCCATAGAGCAGAGGAACAACAGAGTACCTTGTGTTCCTTATGGTGGAGTTTGCTTTACCTGACTTCTGGATGACTAGTCTGGCCTTCCAGTGTGTTTGGTACCGTAGGTTGTAAATTTTCAGGCAGTGATTCCTGTCATCCAATGATAGCAATTCAAGGCAGGTAGAATGAATTGTCTTCTGGAAGTGCCTCCACTGACTATAGAATATAAATAAATAGCTTGGAAAAAAGTTATTGTTTTTATTTTTTAACTTATGTTAATTCAGCCTGTCCTGTATACCTTCCACTGTGTGAACCAGTATCCAAAACTTCAGTCTGTTCATGGGCATTTATAACCAGTAATAAGAACTGTTTTCTCTCTTAAGTGTAAGTGCTGGGCCTACATTTATCTGTAGGTAGTAGGAACTCTGTACTATTGTCTTCTATAAAATAATTAGCAGAAATTCTGATTCTTTAAGATATTCTCTAGAAATGAATTAGGTAATGTGGTGAAGAAATAGAAGGAAAAATAAATTAATTTATTTACTATAGAAAGACTTTTTGATTCCCTTAAGACATATTTGGGTAGTATATATCCACAACCGAGGCTATTTGCAGGACACTTTAGCTGTCATTTCTCCCAGTGCTGAGGTCTGCTGGATGATCTCAGTTTCAAATGAACCTTTAGAAGAATAAAATATTGACAGCTCATTCTGTCCACACTTTATAACTTTCTTCCAAATGTAGCCATATCTGAAAGTTTTTAGCAGGCACATTGAATACTAGGTATAATCTAACTGTATTTGACATGAGAGGAAAAAAGAGCCAGCAATGCGGTAGGAGGAAATAAAAACAATCTGTGACATTATGGATGACTTCTATATGTACCATGGCAGATAAAACAGAGGGGAAGAAGTCATAAAGTTTCCCATGGTATTCCAGTTAGATGACAAGTCCATGGACAGAATTATAGCTCTTTCCTGGTCCTATTCATTTAAAGGACATATATAAATATATAAAATTTCATTTCCCTCCCACTCCTTTCCCTTTCCTCTCCAGGAACATTAAAGAAAGTTTCTGGATAACTTGGTCACAGAATATACTGATACTCTAAAGCAAAATACATAGTATCACAACTTGGGAAAGATTTTATAGCTAGACACTTTACATGCTGCCAAGTTTTAGTCTAAATCCTCTTAGACGTAGTCTGAATAGGCTGATACACATCTGAACTGGCAGATGTAGTTGCTAAGCTGCTCTCCATCATATTTGAAAAGTCTTGGCAGTCAGGTAAAATCCTCAGTGACTGGAAAAAGGGAAACATCACACCCATTTTTAAAAAGGATAAAAAGGTGGACTCTGGGAACTACCAACCAGTCAGCCTCACCTTTGTGCCCAGTAAGATCATGGAACAGATACTTCTGAAAGCTATGTCAAGACCATTGGAAGACAGTGAGGTGATTCAAGACAGCCAATATGGCTTCACAAAGGGCAAATCATTCCTGAGTAATCTAGTGGCCTTCTGCAATAGAGTGACTGCATCAGTGGACAAAGGAAGAGCTATGGATGTCATCTACTTGGTCTTCTGTAAGGCCTTTGATACAGTCCCATACAACATCGTTTCAGCTAAATTGGAGAGATACAGGTTTGATGGATGGAATATTCAATGGATAAGGTATTAGTTGTGTGGCTGCATCCAAAGGGTTGCAATCCAAATGGAAATCAATAACAAGTAGTGTCTCTCAGGAGTCCATATTGGGACTGGTACTATTCAGTAACTTTACTAATGACATAGTGGGATTGTACTCTCAGCAAGTTTGTGGATGACACAAAGCTGATGTGCAGCTGATACACTTGAGAGAAAGGATGCCATCCAGAGGGACTTTGACAGGCTTGAGGAGTGAGCCATTGTTAACCTCATGAAGTTCAACAAGGTCCTGCACCTGCACTGGGGCAATCACCAGTATCAGTACAGACAGGGTAGTGAACGGTTTGAGAGCAACCCTGTGGATCTGGGGACACTGGTAGATGAAAAATTAGATATGAGCTACCAATGTATAATTTCAGCCCAAAAGGCCAATTGTATCCTGGGCTGCATGAAAAGAAGTATGATCATTAGGCTGAAGAAGGGGATTCTCTCCCTTCACTCTGCTTCCGTGAGACCCGCTGGGAGCACAGCATCCAGCATTTGGGTCCTCATTACAAGAAGGACATGGACCTGTTGGAGCAGATCTAGAGGAGGGCCGTGAAAAAGATCAGAGGGCTGGAACACCTCTTCCGTGAGGACAGGCTGAGAGCTGTGGTTGTTCAGCCTGGAGAAGAGGAGGCTCTGGGGAGTCCTTATTGCAGCTTTTCAATACTTAAAGGAGTCTTATAGGAAAGATGGAGAGAGACTTTTTACCAGGGCCTGTAGTGATAGGACAAAGGGCAACAGTTTTAAACTAAAAGAGGAGGGGTTTAAATGTCTCCCTTATGTCCAATCTATTATTATGAGCATGGTGAGACACTGGAACAGGTTTCCCTGAGAAGTTGTGGATGCCCTCTCCCTGGAAGTGTTCAAGGCCGGGTTGGGCGGGGCTTTGGAAAGATGAAAGATGTTCCTGCCCATGACAGGGCGGTTGAAACTAGATGATCATCAAAAGTTCCTTCCAGCCTGAACTGTTCTATGATTCTATGGCACTAGACCATGTCTTGGTCTCTCCAGCATACTTCTTGGATGCTCTGTTACCTTGTTATCCCCTCAAACAAATGAACCTTCACCATTCAGCCATTCAGACCTCCAGGATTTATACTGATCCTGAGATCTGTCTTATAGTTTAGGCATCCCAAACCCTGAATATTGACTGAAGGCAACTCTGGATTTATAATCTGCCTCTTAGAGTAAAAAAAAGTCATAATTGAAAAAAATTATGAAGCCTAACATGCAGTCTTTGTAAGAATTCACAAACCAAGATCCTATTGCTTTACCTAGCATGAGAAATGCACAGATTAAGACAAGACAGTTAAAAAAAAATTAGTCTCTGAACATGTTTGTTTCTCTCTGTTTCCTTATCACTTCTGAGCATCCTTGAAACTTGAGTCACAGTTCTACAGAAATGTGCCTGGCCATGATTTTTCTTTCCATGTGTTTTCCCTGTGGACCTAGATTTCTCATTTGTTTTCTCTCTGACTGGTCCTGCAGCTAACAAGATGCTGTGAGAGCCTGTCTATCTGCTTCTCTATTCTTCCTTTTATCTCAGAGTGACCACCCAGAGTATGTGAGGCTCTGCTGTATTTATGTTCCACTTTGCCACACTTTGGGAGTATTTTTATCTTCACATGTCTACACCCAGATGTTATTTTGCACAAGCTATCCTCCTTCTCTAGTTGTGTCAGCTTGCTGAGGGTCTGTAACTATGTTATTGCTGCCCTGGGAGAGTGTAGGTGACACAGTTACATATGTGGCAGGTTCTACATCCTCTTTGTTCAATATTAATTATTCTGTAAGGTCACAAAATATATGAACGTTGGATTGCTGGATTCCCCAAATCATAACAGGGACAGGGGTCAGCTGTGTAGGAACTGGTAGCTAGCATGTGTTTATAAACAGGTCACAAATTGTATTTGTGTATGTAGAATGAAAGATTTGGATAACTAGCAGTTTGCTTAAATGCCATAGAAATGCCACATAAATTGGGATCCTTCTTCAACTGAAACTGAAAAGGCTTTGGAAAACAGTGCCTGTGTTGGTAGCAGGGAGAAAAAATGAGAAACGAGAGAATGCCTGTTTTTAGGTCCTCAGCACTCATACTGTTAGAGAGAAAGTGCAGATCTTCTCTTTCCCAGTTCTTCATCGGTGTTAAGGATGCAAAGACCTTCTGTATTCAATCATTTGTTCATTCCCCTTGCAGGCCTGAATAACGTTCCCAGGAAGAACATGTGTTAGACACTGAACTGAGAAGCTAAAATAACTTTTACATGAACAAGGTGGGGGATGGCGTTAAGGTCCAGATCTACAAAAGAATTTAATTCTTAACTCCTGTGGAAATCAGTGGGTACATTAAGAAGCTAAATTATGTTCATGCTCACTGTGAAGACATCTCTGAAATACTGTTATATATGAAACTGGTGGAAGTGAGACCTAGATCCTCAGTGATATTTTACAACCATTTTGTATTTAGGCACTGGCATCTCTGGATGCTTTTATTCCTATGGAGCAGAGAGACTTGACATTTGTTTTCTTAATACTCGTTATTTTCTTGGAACCTCATTGATCACCCTGCCTGTTGTATTCTGTGCCCTGGGTGACAAGGCTCCAAACACAGCTGTATCTAGTACAGGGCTGCTATGGTGCACCATAATTTCCAGATACATTGCACACCACTGTAAACACCCCCACTTATAAAATCTGGTTCACTGGAACACTCAAAGCTGCTGGCTGCCAGGGAATGTTCTTTAATGAGGGTAAGGAGTACTTGAACACATCTATGACTTGGCAACCCTTCCTGCTTTTTATAAGCTACTATACACTTCAGAGAGAAAATATCTTAGAGGCTACTTTTTAATGGGACAAGTTTACTTAAGAGTTGAGTGGAGCTGGTGCCAGTAGTTCTGTTTTGTTCTAGCTTAATATTAGCCTTGTCAAAGTTCTTATAGCGTCTCCTGGGTGTTTCTGTATTGCATACCATATAAAGCTGGTTTTGGGAGCCAAGAATTTTGGCTGG